GCTACAAATGTAATGAATAAAGTACATGTTTATAAAAAACAATGTTGTAAATTTAATTATTTAATTTTCACTGAACACGCAAAATGCAAGTTAATGCTTAATAGAAAAGGAAATTGTTTTGGGCGTATCGTTTGAGATTTCTTTGACACTACGTCTGCATGAAGCAGAGAAAGTGAGAAATAAAAATGACGCCATTTAGAGTCCAGCATGATCATTTATGGCTGGCTGTAAGTTAAATCATAAAGTTATCTAATATTTTGCTGCTGACCATCTGAAGAACAATAGTTGATAATCACAGAGTACCTTGGCTTAACATGTGCAATTTTCAGGTGGGTCTACAAATGGGAAAGCAGCAAGCCTCCTAACAGGTGGGGGGCTGCCTGGATGTGCAAATTTGGGAGCTTCTCAAAAATACTGGGAGCTGCTGGTATCCCTGCTTTACACACTCTGGGATTGGCAATTCCCTTATCTCCAAGTAACCCCCTCCTTCCCAGTACTAATCATTCCTGGAAATTCATTGAGACTGACAAAGCCATTTTGATTTTTGGTATGTACAGCAAAATTTACCATGAAAATGTTAAGCTCAGCAAATCCCAGCACTTTTGTCTGTAGATTTCAAACAATGGAAAAACCCCAGATTATGTCATGATTCCAGATTATGCTGCCAAATTTATGATGCAATCTGTCCAAGGACCAGTAATCTTTTTTGTTAAAGTGTGAGATCCAGCAGACTTACTAAGCTAAGAGAATAAGACCACGAGATTCCATGATTTTAAACAAAAAACAATAAGTTTTATTATCCAATGTTAGAACAGTACTATAATCTATAACATATGCACAACTTAGTTCTAACACTCAGAATTAAAATGTGATAAATTGGGTTATCAGACTATGTTCAAACACTACAATGCACATCAAACAGCAAATGTGACCAAGACAGTTCTCACAGATTGTTTAGCAATTATCCCCCAGAAGTAGATGATATAGAGGGTCATCAAATGTCACTAAACTTTACAATGGATTACAATTCTTCACTTTTGCTGATCTGGTCTTGAAACTCCATCTCAGCATGCCTCAGCAACTGTTCCCATTCTTGTCGATCACCTTCTGTCATAGGTTTATGCCCCCCTAGACTCTGGAAACAACACTCCAGTGCTTAATCATAGGTACAAATCCAGCTTTCCACTGACAGCTTGATTCACCTAGCCAGAACAATGCCTGACTTTTTTAAACTGAGCTCTAATCTTGCTTGCTTGCATAAAACACACATTGTTTGTTAGCTTTTTAACCCCACACAGTTTCTTCTGAGCTACCGCTGCTCCAGGATCTACCAGAAACCTAACTCCAACATGTAGCTTAAAACAAAAAACAGGAATTGCTGGAAAAGCTCGGCAGGTCTGGCAGCATCTGTGGAAAGAAATCAGAATTAATGTTTTGGGTCGAGTGACCCTGCCTCAGAAGATTTTCTGTGACCTGCTGAGGTTTTCCATCAATTTCTTTTTTTTTGTTTCTGAATTACAGCATCCGCACTTCTTTCAGTTTTTATCCAACGTTTAGTTGTCTACGAATCCCTTGAACTCCTTCCTCAGTTCTAATAGTACTGAGGTATTCAACAGTTCTTGTGACTTCCCATTTAGTCCCCTACATAGAACTTGCACAGCTCGGTTGCCTTCCCAGCAGTATAGCTAAAAACAACAGTTTACTAACATGGAGTCTACTTCTCTCTAGTTTTCATTCTTTCTCTCTCTCACATGCATATTCACTGATTTCCAATCTCACTGTCACATTTGAAGTCATCTTCAGCCACCTTTGAACTGTTGTTTGTGACCAATTGAAAACTTTGTAAATTTGCTCCAATTTTGTGGAAGATTTCTATATGACTAACATTTCAGCATGCCCTAAATGTTACATTCTATCAGAAGGCTGGCTTCTGCAAGATAAAGAAGACTTACAAGAAGATACTGCAGGAAGTTCCCATAACATGCAGAGCACCTTGCAGAGAGTGATATGGCAACACCGTGTAACTTCAGACAGCCACCAAAATCAATTGCATCTCTAGCTCCTTAATATTAATTGAGTAACATTAATCCAACTTTAGTTGTTTTGTTTCCCTCACAGGAATAAGAAGCACAGATAATAATTGGAGGTGAGGTTAGGATGGGAGCAATGTAAATCTCCGAGCAGTCTCACACTGTTGGAAGCAGAAGAGAAAAAGCAGTCCGGTTTTGTGTAGAAAGGATGACAATAACAATTTATTGCAAAAGGTTATCCCTTAATCTGGAAATCATATCCAGCACTATCCATACTCACTGAACTCGCAAAGCCCTGATTTCCCATCGTTTTAGCTCATCCTGGTATTAGCTATGCCTTAGTACCCTCTTTCTAATCTATCCCAAGGACTTCAACCTCATTTTAATGCCAATAAATTATTTGTGCATTTAATGTATGTGGATAGAACTAAAAGAAGAGTTGATACTGACCCTGATTTGTGAAGATAAGGGAAATTCTAACCTCTAATAATTGACAGGTTGAAAAAGGTGGAGGTGTGGTAAATATTGTTGTTTCAACTCTACCATGCCTATATCTGTGTTTATCAGATTGGATGTTGGTGGGAAAGCTACGCATCTACCTTTTTTTATTTAACATAGTTTTCTAATCAACTTGTTCAGAGATGTTTTTGCACACCTTTGGCGCAGATGGGACTTGAAGCTGTGCCTCCAGGTTCAGGGGTAGGGACATTACCACTGCACTAAAAGAGGGCACCCAGCAACTTATCCCTTTTTTTTATTTAACCTATTTTCTTAATCAACCTGTTCATAGGTGTTTTTCCACACCTCTGGAGCAGATGGGACTTGAACCCAATCCTCCCGGTCGAGCAGTAGGGACACTACCCCTAAGTGAAGAGAAGGTCCCTCAGCTTCTCACCTAATTCAGGGATTACCTAACTGGATACAGGTGGGTACTTACAAATTCAATTAAAATCCCTGAGATGCATTAAGGAATAACTTGTCTCCTAATATTGCTTGAGCACAACAGTGAAACTCCACAGAGTCCAGTATCTGTCACCAAGTCACCCTTTATTTACACATGAACAGTCCTCATTCAGAGTCAGGTACCAGAGTGTCAGTATCTCTGACACAACCTTTCTATTTGCCAGCTAGGGCTCCCTAGGACCACTGGACCACCTTAACAGTCCCAATCAAGGAATTCATATTCTATGAGATCCAGCTGGCTGATGTCCTTATAACCACTACAAACAGGTTTTCAGTGCTCAGAAAACTAACAAGAGAAGGAGAGGCAAGTTTCAGCAGCAATTCAGATGGGTATTTAAACCTTTCATTGAATAAAAGCTCACCCACTGCTGTTGCTGTCCCAGTTCTGTCTAGTTCTGCATTTTTCCACAGTGGGATTTTTTAAACTGACAAGTTCAGTATGGGAGGTGTATTGAATGTATTTGATTGCACATCAGAAAGGAAGTCTGTCACCATTCATGGCAGTGATGACACCTGGTGGAATCAGCACTTTCACAGCTGAGAGGTTTAAAGGAGGAGGAGGGCAAAGGGGCTCATCATTAAATGAAGAGAATGTAAATAAGAAGGTAGAAGGTGGAGAACCATCACCAGTTTGGCCTTTTCTTCTACAATGAGCAAGTGAATCTGAGTATTCACCCAGTGAATGCATTGTCAGGATACCAGGCATTGGCCTGTGTGATACAGATGTGTGGTTACATACCAACTGCATGCTGAGGAATTAAAATCACTTTTAATTGTGACCCAACTCAGAATTAACATGCAGTTGCCTCAATGCAATATACATGCAATTGATACCATTCTTCATTACAGAGAGAATAGCAATCCCTGAGAAGCAACATTTTCAATCCATGTCCTTCTCTCTGGCCAGAAACAATTAAATGTATTCATCTCCTTTGGAATACAGAATCTCAGTGGTTTCTTGTACACAACAGTTTTTGGAAAACTGGGAGACTTTGCACATAGCTCCAAGTTGAAAGAGACCAATGATTAATATCTTAAGGCTACTACCGTAGAGTTTGAGAGCTGGGAGGTTAAGCTGAAACTGTATAAAACAGCTAAAGGATTGCGTGCCGTTCTGGAATCCACATCATAGGAGGGATGTGACTGCACTGGAGACAGTGGAGAGGAGATTTACCAGGATGTTGCCTGGGCTGGAAAGTTTTAGTCATGAAAAGAGATTTGATATATTGCTGTTGTCCTTGGAACAAAGCAGACTGAGACGGAATATGATTAATTAAGGGGTATAGACTGGTAGATGAGAAGAAATGTCCCTTTCATGGAAGGATCAAAGGCCAAGGAACATAGATTGAAGGGAAGGAGCAGGAGGTTTAGACGGGATACAAGGAAAAGCGTTTTTACCCAGAGGGTGATGGGAATCTGGAACTCACTGCCTGTAAGGGTGTAGAGGCAGAAACCCTGATAAAATAAGTATTCATATGTGCATCAGTGATGCCAAACTTTACAAGGCTATTGGAATAGTTAGGGGGTTGTTTTCGACCAGCACAGCATGATAGGCTGAAGGGCCCTTTTCTGTGCTGTAGCTGTCTATAATTCCATCACTGTCTAACTCTATGACCATCATCACAACATTCAGCAATTCTGTCCTTACCCTAATGTAAGGTACAGTTGTGGGTGCAGAAGGAAGCAGATTTCATTGAAGTTGTCCTTACTGAAGGCTTGACATACCACTTACTGTTCCTTGCTGAGATTTGGGTAGGTCAGTCATTCCCTGAACAGTCTTGGTGGATTTGACTTTCTGCTGAGAACCCTTTTCTTGCTCTTCTTTTTGCAGTATTTTGTCTAGCTGTGTATTGCCGCTGCTTATTCTCCCTGCCCAACTGTTTTGCAAGAAAACATATCGTTCATTCCTGGGAGGAAATAGTCTTTGAGGTCAGACCAAAGTCCTTCGGCATGTAATGCACCAGTTTGCTACAGCCATTACTATTTTAAACAGCTCCAGGAGCCATCAAACACTTCTACAATCGCAGGAGAAACCTGTGGAGTTCAACTGAACATCGCTGTAAGTAATGGTCTCTTAAAAAATGCTGGGGTAACTGTGGGTGAGATGTGGGAGCAGCTGTGTAGAGCATTTAAACTGGCAGAATTAAAAACCAAAAGAACTGTGGATGCTATGAATCAGGAACAAAAACAAAGTTGCTGGAAAAGCTCAGCAGGTCTGGCAGCATCTGTGGAGGAGAAAACAGAGTTAACGTTTCGGGTCCGGTGACCCTTCCTCAGAACTGATGGTGGCTGGGAAAACGTCAGTTTATATGCAGAAAATAGGGAGGTGTATGGGGTAGGGAGTAAACGATAGGATAGATCCCAAAAAGAGAGAAAGACAGTTGGACAGACAAAGGAGTTGCTAACGATCATGCTGGGAGGGTGAATAGTTGTTAATGGGGACTGTTAGTGGCTAACAACAGGGGGTGTGTAATGGCAGGCTATGTGGTTACAAGGCCTGGTGTATGGGGTGGGGGGCTGGGACATGGGAGAGTTTAGGCCCTAAAATTATTGAACTCAAATTGAGTCCGGAGGGTTGTAGGGTCCCCAAGCGGAAAATGAGGTGTTGTTCCTCCAGCTTGCGTTGGGCTTCACTGGAACATTGCAGCAAGCCAGAGACAGAGATGTTGGCCAGGGAGCAGGGTGGTGCGTTGAAGTGGCAGGCAACAGGTAGTTCAGGGTCTTTTTTGTGAGCAGAACGTAAATGTTCTGCAAAGCGGTCACCAAGTCTATGCTTCATTTCCCCAATGTAGAGGAGACCACATTGTGTGCAGCGAATGCAGTAGACTAGATTCTGGGAAGTGCAGGTGAAGTGTGGCTTCACCTGGAAGGTATGTTTGTGTTCTTGGATACTGGGGAGGGAGGAGGTAACTGGACAGGTGTTGCACCTTCGCTGGTTACAGGGGAAGGTGCCGTGGGGCTGTGGGGACGTGTTGGGGGTGAAGGAAGTGTGGACCAGTGTGTCCCGGAGGGAACGGTCTCTGCGGAAGGCAGACAAGGGAGGGGAGGGGAATATGTGTCTGGTGGTGGCATCTTGCTGGAGGTGGTGGAAATGGCATCTGATGATCTTCTGGATGTAGATGCTGGTGGGATGGTAATTGAGGATAAAGGGAACCTTAAGGGGAATTAAAAATTAACTGTAAGAACTAACATGACCAAACTTTCATTTTGAACTGTGGCATCTTGCTTTATTAAAATCTGAATCTTCATTTTTTTTTGCAATCTTTGTAATGATGGTGTTAACTTGTTGCTATTGCATTCCTCATTCAAATGATCTGATGCACTGTACTATATCCGTTCTGCCTCTTGTTCATTTTTAGGCCTGGCATTATGCAGTATTCCTCGCTATATATAGCAAGTAACTTGTATGTTATAAAATAGGGAATTGGCTGAGCAGACAGAAACCATACATCAGATGTCAATGTTTAATCCTTACAGAACCTCCCAGCCCTCTTCTCCATGCTCCATAAATTTTCATTGCCCCGTACGCAACTTTTCTAGCACCCTCCCTGCAATCTAAGAATAGGAGCAAGAGTGGGCAATGCTTGACATTTAAAATGATCAGGGCTGATTTTCTTCTACAATTTCACCTTTCCACGTAATTTCCATATCTCTTCATTTCCTCTATTTGCCAATATTCTGTCAATTTCTATCTTAAATATATGCAACAACTAAATATCCACAGTTCTCTGGAGTACAGAATACCAAAGAAACAAATTGTTTTGCTTAAAACAATTAACTACCAGACTTAATATTTTAAATATTGTAAGGTGAGTACAAAAATTTAATTTTCAACCCTCTATTTCAAGCTTAAACTTTAAAAGTTTATTGTTTGTATCTTATTCTTTGTCTTGCTTTTAATTGAAATATAATTAGCAAGCTTTTTTTGAAATTTTACTTTTAGTTCAACTTAAGTTATACATGGATACTGAATGCATGCAATGTTGTTCTTTTCTGCATTCTCACATGCTAATTGTAATGATTAGAGGGGGAGGGGCATGTGACATAGAACATAGAACATAGAACATTACAGCGCAGTACAGGCCCTTCGGCCCTCGATGTTGCGCCGACCTGTGAAACCAATCTGAAGCCCATCTAACCTAAACTATTCCATTATCATCCATATGTTTATCCAATGACCATTTAAATGCCCTTAAAGTGGGCGAGTCTACTATTTTTGCAGGCAGGGCATTCCACGCCCTTACTACTCTCTGAGTAAAGAACCTACCTCTGACATCTGTCCTATATCTATCACCCCTCAATTTAAAGCTACGTCCCCTCGTGCTAGCCATCACCATCCGAGGAAAAAGGCTCCCACTGTCCACCCTATCTAATCCTCTGATCATCTTGTATGTCTCTATCAAGTCACCTCTTAACCTTCTTCTCTCTAACGAAAACAGCCTCAAGACCCTCAGCCTTTCCTCATAAGACCTTCCCTCCATACCAGGCAACATCCTGGTAAATCTCCTCTGCACCCTTTCCAATGCTTCCACATCCTTCCTATAATGCGGTGACCAGAACTGTACGCAATACTCCAAGTGCGGCCGCACCAGACTTTTGTACAGCTGCAACATGATCTCATGGCTCCGAACCTCAATCCCTCTACCAATAAAACCTAACATACTGTACGCCTTCTTAACAACGCTATCAACCTGGGTGGCAACTTTCAGTGATCTATGCACATGGACACCGAGATCTTTCTGCTCATCCACACTACCAAGAATCTTACCATTAGCCCAGTACTCTGTACTCCTGTTATTCCTTCCAAAGTGAATCACCTCACACTTTTCCGCATTAAACTCCATTTGCCACCTCTCAGCCCAGCTCTGCAGCTTATCTATGTCCCTCTGTAAACTGCAACATCCTTCCGCACTATCCACAACTCCACCAACTTTGGTGTCATCCGCAAATTTACTAACCCATCCTTCTACACCCTCATCCAGGTCATTTATAAAAATGACAAACAGCAGTGGCCCCAAAACAGATCCTTGAGGTACACCACTAATAACTGAACTCCAGGATGAACATTTCCCATCAACCACCACCCTCTGTCTTCTTACAGCTAGCCAATTTCTGATCCAAACCACTAAATCACCCTCAATCCCATGCCTCTGTATTTTCTGCAATAGCCTACCATGGGGAACCTTATCAAACGCTGTACTGAAATCCAAATACACCACATCAACCGCTTTACCCTCATCCACCTGTTTGGTCACCTTCTCGAAGAACTCAATAAGGTTTGTGAGGCACGACCTACCCTTCACAAAACCATGTTGACTATCCCTAATCAAATTATTCCATTCTAGATGATTATAAATCCTATCTCTTATAATCCTTTCCAACACTTTACCCACAACTGAAGTAAGGCTCACTGGTCTATAATTACCAGGGTTGTCTCTACTCCCCTTCTTGAACAAGGGGACAACATTTGCTAGTCTCCAGTCTTCTGGCACTATTCCTGTAGACAATGACGACATAAAGATCAAAGCCAAAGGCTCTGCAATCTCCTCTCTAGCTTCCCAGAGAATCCTAGGATAAATCCCATCCGGCCCAGGGGACTTATCTATTTTCACACCTTCCAGAATTGCTAACACCTCCTCCTTATGAACCTCAATCCCGTCTAGTCTAATAGACTGTATCTCAGTATTCTCCTCGTGATCAACCTCGTAAATCATTTATTGTTATTCTATGGAAAGTAATTCAGATTACGAAGAAGAGTCACACTGGGCTCAAAACATTTATTCTGTTTCTTCCTCCACATATGCTGCCAGATCTGTTAAGTTTCTCCAGAACATTTGAATTTTAGTTCAGATTTCCTGAATCCGCAGTATTTTATTTTTATTTCACAATGTAAGAGAAGAATCATTACATATACAATAACTTCAGATTCTGTACTTTAACTCATTTATTACATGGAAGTATTTTCACAATGAATACATTTTTCAATAGAATACTGTATTCCGGGATTTTTTTCACAGCTGCCCTGCACAGTAAGTGACATTTGCCCTATACATGGCAGAGAAGGGGACGTTGACACCTCCCATTGTGAACAGGGGCCTGGAGGTCCTGGGTGGATGAGGTGATACAGAGGAGGGCCCTTCTCCATCCTCTTCTACCAGGACTGGCCATGTTGCCAGACCATGCCATCCTGGGCCAGGTTGCCATCCAGATCAGTGTGGTTTCAACTGTCTGGAAGAATGCATAGCATTGTAGGAAGAAAGTCAATTACCTTTTCCACTCTGCCAAATTAAGAGCCACCATCTTCTCTCTCCTATTTCACACTCGCTCTATCTCTGCCAATGCAAACATCTCCGACTGAGAGTCATGCTCTACCACTCTCTCTATTGCATTCAACATCTTCCCTCACTTGTTCTCACCCACCCGGTATTACTAACCCTGCATGCCCTCTCTTATGCCTACTCAATCATTGAAATAATTCATCGCTTTTGCATGTGGACATGTACTACTAGCTGTGACAGTCACTTTTGTCTAATTCTATACGTGTCTTTCATTCCAGGTGGAAAACAGCTCATAAGAAATTTTAAAAAAGGGAGATAAAAATACTAATAACTATAGACCAGTTAGCTTAACATCTCTTATTTGGAAAATGTTAGCATTTATTATAAATTTAGCATAAACGTTAACTGACGCTAGCTTCATGAAGGGGAAATCATGCCAAATTTATTAGAATTCTTCGAGGAGGTAGCAAACAGAATTGATAAAGAGGAATAAATACTGAAAGAACTGCGGATGCTTTCTGGAAAAGCACAGCAGGTCTGGCAGCATCTATGAAGAAAACAAAATCAGAGTTAACGTTTCAGGTCCTGTGACCCATCCTAGAGGAAGGGTCACCAGAGCCGAAACGTTAACTCTGATTTTTTTTCGATAAAGGGGAAGCTGTGGATGTAATGTACTTGTATTTTCAGAAGATGTTTGGTAAGGTACTACACATTCGGCTACTTGATGAGATTACAGCCTTGGTGGTGGATGTAATATATTAGCATAGATAGAGGATTGACC